GCCAAGCTTGGTTCGCTGCTGTGTCTCTCCGTTGGTCGTTTTTGCTGCTTGCGTGTTTTCTGCGAAGGCAACTTGTGGCTTGTGTGTTCTCCACGCTTGCTCTAACGGGAAAACGTTCTTTGGCTGACCCTTTATTGATTATTTTGAGGTCGCTTTGGCAAGAGGGGTGTTATGGCAAAACGAGATGGGTTCTTTTGAGGATTTTTGTTCAACCCTTAAATTGGGGCCCAAGTTGAACCCATTGGCTGGTTCAGATTCCTGTGATTTCTCGCGGGCTTTCATGTTTGAAACAGCCGATTTGGTGTTCACCAGTGGCGAGTTCTGCCAGGCCATGTGCCTCTTTTTGCGGAACTTGCCCATCGCCACCAAGTATGCCTATTGCTCCACCGAAACCTGGATGAGCCACAACACAAAGCACATCGAGTTTAAGCACCTCAGCGGCAATCAATCCTTGGACCCGTTCACCATTTGTTCTTTCTTTTTTTCTTGTGACCTCAAAAGGTGAGACTATTCTTTAAGGGTTAGCCAGGTACCGGACTTTCCAGAACATGATCCCGGGATGGTACATCATCCCTCAGGAGCCTCCAAGATGTTTTTTTTTGGTCGCGGCAAGTCTGCAACTTTTCTTGGGTGTTAGGTACCGGGCATTCCAGAACCTGCTATCGGGATGGTACGTCATCCCTCAGGCGCCGGGGAAAAAATCCCATGGCCCGATTGGGGAAAAAAGGCACTTTTGGGTGAGGCCAGCTTAGATCAATGTGTCCGATCTCAACGTCTAAGACCGACTTGCAAGCTCACCGATTCGGGGCTGGAGCGAGCAAAAGTCATGATAAAGGACCTTTACTTGGGGATCCCTAAATCCCAGCTTTTGGAATTCTAGTAACATTTGCCGAAATCTTTTGCACAACTGCGTTTGAGACCAGCAGGGAGTTCATGGAATCATTGCCAGACCAAAGGATGTCCTTCGCGGCCCAGAAAAGAGAGTTCTTGAATGCTACCTTCAAGATTTGTGCGTCTTTCGATGGTTCAGACTACGCGACAAAAAGCCTTTTCGATGCGAGGATGCGCACATGCAAAGTGGATGTAGTATCAGTCCAAACGAAGAGCGCCATCATCTGTGTGAACGTTGTTTCCTCGCCATGTTTCTCTCCCTGATCAACATGGCACTCCTCGGGCCCCTTTTTCAGAAACTCACAAAAGTGGGATGGTTTATTTCGGGGTGAATTCCATGTGTCATTCACTGCATCTCTCGCAAGTTCCCCTTTACTTTACCCTTTTTTGGGGGGAGGGTTCTACTAAAATAGACGATTCAGAAAAAGGTTGGTAGCAACTTATTCTAATCTACGGGAGGACCTAGTTCCATTTCCTTCAGATGTCCGGAGGTGCTCTCAGATTCCATGTCTCATTCCCTGCCTGCATCCATGGTTGTTGTTGGGAAACATTTTACATTTGTGCTTCTTGTGGTTTAGTGGTTGAAATCCAAATCCACTTAACTGCTACAAAATAAATTGGTTTGCCCCCCTTCCAACGGTCAAGCAAGCATTGAATCGGCAGCGATGGCAAGATTCGAGCGGGATAGGAGAACTTCGAGATCCAGGCGGAGGTGGCGTTCATCGGGGTCCTGGGCTCCAAGGAGCAGCGGGAGGAGTTCACCGCAGCCTCGGCGGATGAGTTGGGTGTGTGGGTGGGTTTGGGTGGGTGGGGGAGTGGGTGGGGGGTGGGGGGGTAGGGCTCGGTTGGATAAACCTGTTTGCGGATTGTGGTGAGGTTCCGCCAAAAGTACCCGGGGGGGGTGACCTATGTTAACACACACCCGTGGTTTGTGGTGAGAAAAAGGGACACCACAGTTGGAAAGCCGCCAAAAATTGAGGGGGGGTCGCATGGGGACGCCATTTTAACATTACCCAAATGGTGAACGGTTTGTTGGGTGGATTTAAAGGGGAGTCAACAGGAAGCCTGATTTTGGGGTCCCCCTATTTTGAGAGACAGCCAAACAATGAAGAGTTGAATCCAATGATAAGACATGGGCGTGTCTTCTTTGGCGGGTATCCTTTTTTTGGGTCGGTTTAAAGCGAAGCCAGAATGCTATATTAAAAGGCGAAGCGCTATAGATATACTGTTGGTGGACAAAATCTGTTTCACACCAGTTGCTGGTTTATGCCTGAACTCAAAAGGTTTGATTCCTTGTGTTTGTTGCACAGCGGTCGTTGAACTCAGAAACTGGGGTGTTTCCCTGAACTGGCATGCGCTTGGGGTGAAGCTGCAATTTGGTCATGTAAAAGGCAGGCTTGCTTCCCCCTCATACCATTGGGGCCAGCCACAGGTTTGGTTCACAGGCGCGTAGGCCGCTCCCACGGTTTCGGACATGTCAAAGTCCTCCAACAAGTGGGTAGTTTCAATACAACGGACACCACCAGTCAATTGCAACGGTTGATCTTTTCCACTCGGTTGAGCCTCATTTCTTCTCCCTGCTTGTATAATAGTACCAAGCGGGCGTTCGCTTGAACTGCCCAAACAAAGGGCGTCTCATGTGTCTTTGTCCTATTTGCCCCGCCCCTACACTTAGGAGGTTAAAACATCATGTTTGCTGTTTTTTTGGTTGGTTTCCTATTGGGGTAATGCGCAAATCAGGTATTCAACCCTTGCTTGGTCCTCTTTTTCGTACAAACCACCCCTAACCTGCAAACCAAGCTACCAAGCCACCAACCACGCAAAGGGACGTGTTTTATTCTAAGGGTTTTCGCATTACGCCTTGGAAATGCACCCACTGGGTATTGACCCCATTTAGGCACATGTCCGGATAAAACCGTGTTATTTTGAACCATTCTGGGTCATTTCCCAAGGTGTAATCCCAGGGTGTAATACAAACACCCTCAGATTTATGGATCCTTGGCAAGTAAGGTACGGTTTCTGCCGTGGCCGCAGAATGGCATGGACCTCTTCCTCATGCGAAAACGCATCGATGCGCCTCACCCGCTTTTTGGTATGTGGCAACATAGGGAAGCTAACAAATGTAGCTTGTCGCTTTGGTTTCCCTTTACTCATGCTTGTTTAGCGTGCTTTTGTTGACTACGGAAGCTATTTGTTTCCAGGGTTCTGAAAAATATTTGCATAGACTTTACATGTTCAGCTTTACCACCCGGCTGTAACGGTTGGGTGGCCAGCGGCCAGTTTTGGCGTTTGCTTGTCACAGTGCAGCGGGCTGGGTGTTCTTTTGCGCATGGGCTTGCAGGGCCACACATCACATCCCACAGTCTATTTTTGCGCTGTGTCCAAAATGAAATTCTGTGCGAAGAAACTTGAAAAGGCCAGGGTCTGCCGTTTGGGCAGTGCCTGAAAATGCCTGCTGCGAAGATCACGTAAAATGTCGTATTTTACAGCATTTTCTCGCGAAACACTTGCCCGTCAACATCCCCAGCATTGTTTTCAACATCCCCCGCATGTCCGACCAACATCCCTAGCATCACCAACAAATTCAAAGAAACAATGCTTCAAACAGGAGGGCATTTCAATCCCTGTAAACAAAAATACTACAAAGTAGCGGGGGGGTTGGGGGGGGGCCCATGATGTTGTTTGCAGAAGTGATGATTTGAATAGGGTGCAATTAAATCTCTGCAAAAAGTCTAAAAAGTAGCGGGGGGGTTGGGGGCGGCAGCCCCCCCCATGATGTTCGAAGAATTGATGATTCAACTAGGGTGCAATTAATTAAATCTCTGTAGAAAAACTAAGACGTAGCGGGGGGGTTGGGGGGGGGGCAGCCCCCCCCATGATGTCGGAAGAAGTGATGATTCAAGTAGGGGTGATTCAAGAAAGGGCGTGATAGAATTTAAAAGGCAGCGGGAGGGTTGGCGGAGGTGGCTTCCCCTATGATGTTCGAAGAAGTGCATACATACAGACATACATGAATTGCACAGATTACCTAAAATGCAGTATTTTGCAGCATTTTCTCGCGAAATTGGACGCTCGAAAAAGTGATGATTCAAACAGGGGTGCAATTCAATCTCTGCAAGAAATCTAAAAAGTAATGGGGGGGAGGCGGCAACCCCCCCCATGATGTTTGAAGAAGAGCTGATTCAAATAGGGGTGCAATTACTCTGCAAACAATCTAAACAGTAGCGGGGGGGTTGGGGGGGGGTGTTCCCCCCCCCATGATGTCCGAAGAAGTGATGATTCAAATAGGGTGGTGGTGATGCTGATGATGCGGGAAGCCAAATCCAAAAACCTATAGCCAAAAAGCCCGAAGGATGCGAAAAGCCAAAGCCGCCAAAAGCCGCCAAAAGTCGCATAAACCAGCGAAAAGCCGCAAAAGCCAAAACGCCACCTGCCGAAGAGGAACTGGGAATGCAGACAAAAAGCCAAGAAGCCCAGAAGCCCAGAAGCCGAGAAGCCAAGAAGCCCAGAAGCCGAGAAGCCAAGAAGCCGAAAAGCCAAGAAGCCGAAAAGCCAAGAAGCCGAGAAGCCAAGAAACCGAAAAGCCAAGAAGCCAAGAAGCCAAGAAGCCAAAAGCGAACAAAAAAAAACATAAAAGAAATACCCCTCCTTTTTCATGTCTCACGTTTGTTCTTGCAAGTGCTTCTTTACTGGGCTTCCAGTGGCTGGTTCCTCACTCGCGACTCGCGGGTGCCTTGAGCCATGCTCTCTAGCGTGGTTTGTTTTAGGGGAACCTTTATGGGCTGGTTTTACAGGGAAACCCAAAATAAACACCACCCAATTTGGGAAAGCCCGTGTTTTGAGACACATCCGGATTCCTGTACAAATTTTGTGGCGCCAGGGGCTGGTGCGTTAGATTTGGCTGTTGCGTTAGATTTAGCCAGTCGCCACGCAGCCTTTGACACACTGCAAGCACTTTGGGGAAGGCGTGCGGGGTCTCCAAGGCGTTGCCCTTGAGTTCTTTGCACATAGCGTTGATCATTGCTCCTGGCTTCCAAATGACCAAGGCTAACTTTTCCCATCGAGTGAGAAACTCATCTTTGTAGTGGTTGTCAAACCAATGGTCATGTCCATGGGGCCTTTTCTTTGGTGCATTTTGCCAAGGGATGTTAGGACTGAACACCTTTTTGCCAACTAATGTGTTTTCCGTATTAAACCACAAACAGTTATTCACTTTTAGCCGGGGAGCAGATTTCGCAACCGAGCTTTGATCAACCAAATCATTCTCAGTTGCCCAAAACCGACCTTTTGACCTTTTGGTTTTTCCTTTTTGGTCTAGTTTTAGTCATGGCCCCAAGAGGTGATCACCTTTTATTTCTGGGTCCTTTGGGCAAGTGAGCATTTGTTCAGGGCTGCTTTTTTGGAGCCTCCCTCCGGGCACCCAGGTCACCAGCAGGACCATGTTCCTGGCGCCCACGGGGGACATTAGCAACCCCGACTCTTGGCGCCGGAAGCCGGTGCGCCGCCGCATCATCGAGGATTCCTCGTCTCCGAGGGATTCTCCGGAGCTGGATAACAGCATCAAGACGCTGAAGAACAAGCCACGCGGCTGAAAATGACAAACATACATGAATATGGGGGGGTGGCTCAAGTGACAGCCCCAGGGATTTTTATGAGCTTTGAGGAAAAGCCAGCCTGTGCACTTTCACGTTTCAGTCGTTTCTGTAGGGACATCAGCTCTTCAATGAAATCCTGGCTGAGTCAGGTTGCTTTTTTTCCTGCGACGACCAAATGGGTTGACTCGACCCAGCGCAATCTGCTTTTACCAGCCTCAAACAACTGCGCCGCCTAATTCAATAGCAGTAGAAACCTGCCGCAAGGCTCTCCATTCCTTGAAGTGGTACTCAGAGATGGCTTTGAATCACCTCCTCAAAAGTGGGTCGACATCAATCCGCTTTTGAGTGCTACCAAGAAGTCCCATTTGTTTATATATCAATAACCCGACTCCAGTCGGTTCTGTACGGCAGGATGTCTAAGAAGTCCTTGGGGCAGATGCGCTCCTTTGTCCTGGGCGGGGAGAAGAAGGAGGGGCGCAAGACCATGTGCGAGCAGGCAGAAGTGGAGAAACACCTCTTCCAGGCCGATTTCGATGCCATCCGATGTTGGATGTCGGTGGCATCGACCACTCAGGTCCCCCAGCTAGGTGCCCTTTCTCACTCAGCTTTTTTGGTAGGGAGGGACACCCCCTACTAAAATAGACTACAGGAAAAAAAGGGTACCCTTATTCCAAGCTCTCAAATCTGGAGGACCTAGCTAACTCATGTCCCAAGATAGCCCCTTAGACCTATAAACGGTCCAGTTCACCCACGAAGGTGATCGACCTTTTGCTCAGGGAAGATTCTAGCCGAGTTTTGACTGGAGGGAATGCAGGGTTTTCCCTGAGCAGGGTTGTGGGATCAAGGGTTTTTTCCCCACTTCTGTGATACAAGGGAATCTCCCCCTTTATATGGGGCGGTAGTCTTTGGGAAGCCCTTTCTGTTGTGTCACAGAAGTGGTCATTCCCCACAACCCTGTTCCTGAGGGTTTATTGCGGTTTCTTTACTTGAATATGGCGTCTCTTTGGGACAGGACATCGAATGACATATGGATGTGTCCCCATTTGGGACTTACCAACTCAACAAGGGTGCTCTCGACAACAAGCACGCCCTGAAAGCCCAGATCCCTTTGTGTGGCAACCAAGGGAAAGCCTGTGAAAGCAAAGCTGACGCAATTGTTTGCAACTCAGGAAGCACGCGTGGTGTGACGCGGGGGGGTGGCTGTCTCTGTGTTTTGTCAGACTTGTTCGAGCTGCGATAGACAGAACGGACCTCCGAGTCGCTGGCTGTCCACCGGTTTTTCTCACCGAGAGTCGCAGGGGTCGGAAGTCTTGCACTGGCGTTCGCGGAAGGCCGAAATCGCTTGGCGTTGGGTTGCCCCTTCGGTTGACCTTTAAACATCAATCAAATGGGTATGTCTCGGCACGTTGGGTTTAACCCCAAATCGTGGTGTTCCTTGTGGTTTCCCATGCCAAACTATGCGTTCTGTTTAAGGGGACCATTTTCGCAATCACACATTCTCCAGCCGCCTTGGGCCCACCCGGAGCCAATCTCAGGTTGGATCTTTGAACCTGTCTGGAGGGTCTATTTTTGTCCACTCTTGGTATCCTCAGATCTTTCTGCGACTTTTAGCTAGCGCGGACTTGGTTCCGCCAAGACTCCAATACCACCACCCGCCAAGTACAAGACAGCCGTCCATCAGACCTCAGTTTGTCCACTTGAAAATTCGCCTCGAGGTGGCGGCTGCAGGAGGAGAGGTGGGGATCGAAGACTTGTTCCTCTACATTCTGAAGGGTATTTCCTATAGCGAGAAGGCCTTCATGCCGCCCCTGCAGCAGCTTGGCATGGCTCGTGCAACTTGCAAGTTGGGAACTCCAGCCGCGGGAGGGGTCAATTTGCGATCTGGTCCATGGTCGAGGTTCCAAAAGGTTGTCCTTTAATTTGTATGTCCTTTTGGCAACTGAGAGCGGGTCACATGTCAGATCCAACTGGGGTTTGAAGCCCAGTTCTCCCCGGCAGACTTGCTGCCCTACAAATGCTCTTGGAACCCGAAAAAGGAGACTATTCTCAACACATAATTTATTTGGTGCATGCATATCGATCTGCAGGGGGGTACGCGGAAAGTGTACAAGCTGTGCTGCGCCCTGTTCCCCAAAGTTTGTTTGGTTTCTCTTTTGGCTTTGAAGCCAAGCTAAAATGGGTACCCTCACAAACACCACCGTGTTGCGTCAAAGAGAGCTTCGCAGCACCTGCCGCTTGCCTGGCGCCGTCGAGCGAAGTTCGCGCTCTCTTTTCCTGATCCGCGAGGCGGATCAGCGCTTTCTTCACCCTCATCACGGTGCTGCTGCCCTCCTTCCTGCGGTGGCGGAACAGCGGCCGGTTCCTGGGCCCGGATCCCCTCTCCGTGCTGTTCGTGGCACCTCGGAGCCGGGGAATCGGGCTGGAGGCATCGATCCGGGGTCCCCCGCTCGGCCGAGCCGCCGGGACTTGGAGGGGGTGAAAAGCAGAATGGCGCGTCCAAGACTCCAAGCCCTACCTGATTACCTGCAAGATTTGGGGAAGCAACCGGTGCGCCAATAGAAATTGCCCCTTTTTTACTCCTTTTTTTTGGTGGTGGGGGGGAGATGGCATATGTTGCAGTTCGGGTGATTCTTGTCAGGCCCCATCCGAACGCACCACTTGGGTTGCAGGTGGTCTAAAAAAAGCAGCGAGGCCTTGTCCCTGCACTTGTTTGGCCCACTTTGAGGTTTGGGCAGGAAGATGTCGGGTGCATCAAATACGTGAGCGGAAGGAGTGGGAACACCCAAGCCATTGCTGGGAACCCCGGAACCAGATAGATCTTGGGGGGGAATGCCCACTAAAGCTAGGGAACCAGGGCTTAATCAAATGCGGGGTGAGCATTACTCGGCCGGCCAAATCCTGCGTGATTTGGGGCGATTTGGGGCTGCGTTGACCGCAAACAACACACGCCAGGATAGAACACACGTTTTTACGCCTGCGTACATGGTTTTGAGGGTTTGCGTGGTTTTGAAGAAAGACAGAAAGGAAAGACATATTTGGGGTCCCCCCCGAAAAGCGACACACACACACACACACACATCTAGAAATGATCGATATCCGATGTCCAAAACTCGCTTGTCAATTTGTCAAAAATGGGGCTCCAAAATGATTGGCGCCCTTTCAACTTCCCTTCAAACTTACTCCAGAAGGGTACCTCGACACAACAGCATACTCATGTGCTTGGGCTTGGCCCTTTTGCGCGCCTTTCGCCCATCGAAGGTTGGGGTGTGGCCCTCGAACTTCATTTGCCTTTGGTCCTCTATGCTCTTCATCGCCGTTGGAGCGGTGGACATGCCACCCGGCTGGCTTGCGGCAATTCGCATCAAGGTAAGCACATAATGCCGACCCCATATTAATGAAGCAAAGGTTATTACTAGGGGTGTGTGCTAAACGGTTTTGTGGGGAGTCATTACTTCGGGAGGGAACATCCCCATATGAACCAACTGGGGTTGATTAATATGGGGTCAACACTAATACGCCTGATTTAAGTCTTCAGACCCGATGACAGGATTGGCCGGACTCTGGTTTGGCAAGTGAGGGGACTTGCTTGTACCTCAGCGTCCGCTTGCGGTTTTGTTCCAACAGGGCGAGCGATTCCAGCAGAAAAAAAAGGTTTTGGGGGATCTGAATCCGTGGTTCTTGTAGAGGACATGGCTTCCATTTGGTTAAGACCTTTTTTCCCCTGCTGGTTTTAAAGGGAACCCATCCCTTCTGGAAACATGTCCATTTTTTGCCAGGGGAGCAAGCATGAATGGAGGTTGGGCATGGCAACCAGCGAGGGAAGCTGCATGAAGGTCTTGGGATCCGATTGGCAGTTCCCAGCCCGGAGGCCTCCTGTGGATTCAGGTTCCAACCCTGTGCATGAGTGTACTTGTACATGCTCCGCCGCTACAGACTTCAAGATCACTGACAGCAGTGTGAAAAGGTAGTCAACGGCTTGCTGCTTGCCTAGGTATTCCCTTAGGTGGCCTAGGCTTGATAACACAGGTTATCAGCCGTAGAGGCTTGTACAAAGATCGCCATGGCATCCGGAGATATGCCTGCCATTTACCATATATCTGGAGATGTTGGTGACGGTAGTGAAGGTGCAGTTGCATCAAATGGTCCTGTCGACCCTCGCGATCCTCGAAACGTATTCGGATTCGCGACAAACTATCAAGCCACCCAGAACATCATGCATGTGCATAACGACACGGCGTTGCTATGGATGCTGCAAGGGCGGAATATAGCGCTCATTTGGCGGAAACTGTGCATCGCCTGGACGAGGAGAACAACCGCCGGACCCTTGAGCTGCACGAGCAGTTCGCAGAGTCCCGCGCTTTCTTCAGCGCCCAGGTTAGCCAGATGCGGGGAGCAATTTCTGCCGAAGTGAACGAAGCTGTGTCGCAAAGAACGGCACAGTATAGCGCTTTCGCACAAAGCTTACATGCTGAGACTGTTGTGATGGAGAACTCGGAGAAGGCGGTCGGTGAGCAGAGAGACAGTATTTTGGCGGAGAATCACGCCATGCAGGACACGATCAACGGGCTGAACGACACCGTTGAGCGTCTGAGGAATGATCTCGAAAAGGCGCAGCGTGAGATGGTGCGCGGAGATCCTCAACCTGCGTCAAGTTTTCAGAACGTCAGTTCGGAGTCGTTTTTGGATAAGAGGGGCAGTATCTTTGATGATCCGCGTCTTTTTCCAACGCAGAATGCACAAACTTCTGGACCTATGCTTCAGATTATTCCACAGCAGAGTTGGACTGATCCTATTTCTGGTGCAATGCAGTTTGATATCAAAGATCATGCGAGAAGGTCTTCGGAGCAAGAAAACAGCCGAAGTCAGCAAAATCAGCCGACAAATCAGCCGAATATTGATCGGTTGACTGGTCCCGAGACCACCGAGGCGGAGTTCCGTGCGGCCCTCCTCGGCTTTGTCCGGAATCAGCATGATCGGCCAAAAGCAAAGGAAGCTGATTCGTTGAGGCTGAGTGAGTTCCCAACTCCTGAGACCTACAGAGCCTGGAAAACGGCTACTCGCGAAGAGATTCGGGCTGCTTCAGATCGGCCTGACGCTGCATTCACCTGGGTTAACAAGGTGTACGTCAACCGGGAGGACAAGAAGAATCTCATGTTAGAGCTTGGAGATCCAGAGCAGTTTGAAACGTTGGATACAAAGCTTCTTGCAGCCCTGTCGCGCATTGCTAGGGGCGACCTTAGTCGGCAGATCCTTACGTACAAGGAGCAACAAGCCGCTTTGGACAAAGTTGTCCGTGGACGTCAAGTTCTTCTCATGTTTGAGCAGTATTTCAGAACGAATGAGGAGGCCGGAGCGTTGTATTCCACTGAAGATTTGTTGAAGGTGGTACTTCATGGCAATGATTTGATGACCTTTATTCAGAATTGGGATTCCGTCATTGCTGGCATGAAGATCGTTCCGGAGCAGCACGTCTTGAAGGACATCTTCTTGCGACAGATTCGTGGATGTCACAAGATCAAGTATGACCTCGATACATACGAGCGTGCAAAAGATGGGTCGTATGACAAGAGCTACGAGTTTCTTGTTCAAGCCGTTCGTGATGTTTTGACTCGGGAGCGATTGCAGTCAAATCGTGATCGTGTTGCTCGAGCTCACAATCAGAAGGTCGGTGCTCCAGCTCCCAATGCAAATCCTGGGCGTGCAAGAGATCCTTCAGCGGTCAGGTATTGCTACGATTTTCAGAAAGGCAAGTGCACTCGGGATAATTGCATTTACAAGCATGAGAAAGACCCAAGACCCCCGAGCCAAAATCCGAAAGGAAAAGGTCGGGGGCGCTCTGACAGCCAGGGGAGAGACAGGGATCGGTCGGCATCGAGAAAGAGAGCGGAGCTGAAAAAGATCCCGTGCAGGTTTTTCAAAGGCGGTCAGGGGAAATGCACTCGTGGAGACAACTGTGCGTTTTCGCATGAGACTCGGTCTGCTGCACCAGCAACAGATAAGCCGAGCCCAAAGAAAGGAGCCAGCAGAGGTAGGTCTCCCACCCCAAAAGGGAAAAGGGAGAAAGCGATCCCAGAGCAAAAAGGGCGAGTCCTCAGCCGCTGTGTGTCTGAGGGTGAAAGAGACCAATGCATGCCTCGCAGCATGCCGCCCAAAGCAAGATTTCTGGGAAGTTGACTCGGTGAACGAGATGGTCATTCGACACCATGTGATGCCCCGAAAAGCGCTTTATGATCCGAAGAGTGCAAAAGACCTTCCAATTTCGCTGGAATGTTTATTGGATCAGCGCATCACCAAAGCCAACATCAGTGGCAAAGAGCAAGTGTTTGGTGATTTCTGGGCGGATCCTGATGAAGGTTTGGAGCAATACTGGACTGGGCAAACGATTTTCATTTGCAGTACAGATGTTTCCAATACCCGCAGATGCGTCAAATTCGCAGACAATGTCGAGATCGTCGAGATCGAGGCCAACGGGCTATGCCTATCATGTGCTCCAAAGCCGAATGACCCTGAGGTTGTGTGGTATGATGGTTGTGCGCCTGGCTCAAATCCCAAGGATCTGATCGATGCTAAAGACAAAGCTTTGATTCTGGAAGGGGTTGTTGAGTTGATGCATGCAAACTACAACGCGCCGTGTGGGTTCTATTGCGAATACTATGATGACAATGACCCAATTTATTGCGGTTTGTATTGTCCTGGCTGTTGGATTGATGATGGTGAAACGAACCTTGACGATGTGCCGGAGTATATTGCTACGCCAGCACCAGCAGGGCTTCGTCAGTGGATTGTCGGCACAGGTAGTGAACAAGATCTGGTTGACGCTGAGCGTGCAGTTACACTTCAAAAGAGGATAAATCCTGCATTGACTCCAATCAATCTTTCAACAGCAAATGGATCAATTTGTGCATTGTGCAGACAAGATTGCGGACTTCTCCATGGATCAGTTGAACGAGGTCGTCACTCCGTATGATATGCCGAGCACGCCAGCTGTTCTTTCTGTTGGTCAAAGATGTTTGGAAAAGGGGTACGACTTCGTATGGAGAAAGAACAGTGCTCCGTACTTTGTGCGACCTGATGGCAAAGCGGTAATATTGAAGCTCGATGGGCGAGTTCCGTATGTTGACGATCAGTGCGAGGTCATAGCTTCTGAATCCGCTATGCCTGTTGCGCTTGCTGCATCCGATCAGAAGATCGGGGGCGTTGAAGTGCCTTCATCTTCAAGCGGGGGGCGACCTCCGCCGGATGCCGCATCGTTTCCATTGCGCCCTGATGAAGCTGAACCGCCGGAACCGGAGTTTGATCCGGAATTGGAGAACAACCCTGAGGTTGCGGAAGCTCCAAAACCGATGTCAAAGCGTTCAAAAGAAATGATGATGCGTGAGGCCAAAAGTGAAGAGCATCTTTTCACTCACAGGCCCAAGAACCCCTTTTGCGAAACATGTGTGCGATCCAAGATGCAAGCACCTCAAGCTCGTCGCAGACATGGGTCTTCTTCAGTGGATGCAAAAGCATTTGGAGATCATGTGACTGCTGACCACGTCATTTCAAATGATGAGACGTACGGGTTCAAGGGCGAGTGGAATGCTTTGGTTGTGAAAGATGTGTTCACGCAGGTCCGGTATTTTTACCCTTCAGCAAGGCAAGATGCTGACAGTTGTGTTCGTGCATTTCAACATTTCACGAAGCCAGATGATCATGTTGGAATTTTCTATTCTGACAATTCTGGCGAAATTGCAGCTGCAGTAAAGAGTATGGGTTGGAGACACGTGCTGAGCCAGCCATATGTCAGTCAATCTTCCGGGGTGATCGAGCGCGAGATCCGTACAATTCTGGAGGGAGCAAGGGCAAATTTGTTTCAAAGCGGTTTGCCGGTTGAGCTTTGGCCTTTGGCAGCTCAACATCATGCATTTGCTCTCAATGTTACAATTCCAGATGACAAGGACAAGTCGCCGTGGGCTTTGCGTTTTGGTGATGAGTTTCCTGACGCAAAGATTCCATTTGGTGCAAAATTGTCGTATTGGATCAATCGTCAGCGCGTCGATTCGAAGCAGTCCAAGTTTCTGCCAACTTCGGATGTCGGCATTTTTGTTGGCTATCATGTGCAACCTGGCTTTACCTACACGCATGAAATTTTGGTATTGCCGCTCAAGAATTTGCCGGACAAGTTGCGGACGGGTGACATTAATCCCCTCCGAGTCAAGCAGTATGAGTTCAATCTGCTTGATGAGACGTTTGTTTTTCCCGCAAAGCAAGCTATTGCCGACGACAAACCGTGTTCTCCGGACGAATTGGAATATGAGCCGGAGTCACATTTGCAGCCTGGCGAAGCAGCTGT